CAGAAACTTATTGAAATGGTTTACTCTATGACAAGCAATCGATCACATTTTCTCATAATCGAACATAAACGATTTTGGAACTACTGTTTTAGTCTTTGAAAAACTTGACAATGGAACATATTTTAGAAGTTGTCAGGGCCTGAAAACGTGTTTAATTCTTAGAAAACTCACTTCACTAACTGAAAAGCCATGACTGAATAGTTCTCTAAGACTCAAGGAAGTTTATGTTCATGATATATTAGTCATCACTTTAAAGTAGCACGTTGCATCATGTTATACGTACCTGCAATAACAACCTGGATAGGAAAATCTGAAAAATGACGCTAACCAATTTTTTTCGATGATTGTTCGTTGGTAATGAAGCAATCATCAATTGTGAGATTTCAACCAATTCCCAACACTAGAACTTAGATGTATTCAGGTTGTGACTCCATGTTAAATGTACTTACAGTTCACATATACAGGCATAATGGTCTCAGAACATAACTCATGTGTTGATGGTATGTGCAGTTTCTTTTCTATTGAGATAGAAGAACTAAGTTTGAAGTGAATATGGCTTACTTAAAAAGAGCGATTTTCATACATATTTAGTTGACTTCCAATCCCTGGTCATTAATACGTTAGTAGAAATAGAGGAGTGAACAGAACTCACCTCAGTCCCATTATTTGGAAGTGTTTACATCACAAATACCTAACTTATGCATGGCGAATCAGATGAACTTCAACATATCAGGTGACACAAACGTATATGTATATTAACGTATGGCCCATATTAAGATTTAAAGCTTATCAATTACAGGACAAGCAAGTTTCGGGTACAAAAAGTCTAGTTTCACAAACATGAAATACTTTCGAAATGTTTACAATACATTCTTTCGAATAGGTCGAATACACTTCCCACCAATGACGATCCGAGTTCAAATTAAGCTTCAGTAACCCATGCTAGTCGTAGGAGGCGCAAATCGGGATCGGGTGGTCAGGCTCACTGACTTGGTTGACACATGTCACCGTATCCCAAGTGCGTAGATCGATACTCATGCTGTTGATCACTGGATTGTCTGGTCCAAACTCGATTATTTACCGACCACCACCATATAGCTGGAATATTGCTGACTGAGGCTTAAAACTAAAGTTTAACTCACTCCGTAACTAATACACTTCAATATACTTTTGTGTTGTTCAAAATGTGCAGATCCAGAATTGGACAATCACAAACATAGACACTTTCTAAAGTCAATACTTACTGTGTACATCAGCACATACACGTGGAGAAATAGATGATTGTGTATAGGACAATGTACACTGGGGGCGCAAACAGGACTTAGATGATATATATATACTACGCATTATATACTTTCGGAACTGTCTGCTAGACATTCCTATTTTAGGTCAATACTTCCCTGTGTGTTACATATGCAGGTAGAACAGATTGAGTCGACAACTTATTGTGAACGTTAGTACAATACTCGTGCGGCAATATTATAATACAACTGACGTGTCGTGCACAATGTGTCGTGTCGTGAGACGCCTCTTTGTGGTGTCAGCCAGGTACCGGTGTAGTATGCACCAGCAGTTATTGTCCCTGTGAACGAACAGTCACTGCGTGAATCCTACCTGAAGAGTCACAGCACGATTTCCTTAAGGTGGTGAGTTATACATTTAGATATCTTCTCCACGTTTCCTTTTGGTTCCCTCACACTCACTCACTCACTCACTCACTCACTCACTCACTCACTCACTCACTCACTCACTCACTCACTCACTCACTCACTCACTCACTCACTCACTCACTCACTCACTCACTCACTCACTCCACTCACTCACTCACTCACTCACTCACTCACTCATAAAGTGTCCGTGTTATGGGTTTCGTTTATCGTTTCAGCACTTGAAAAAGATTCGTACGCTACCCGATACATCAATTAAGTGTATGTAAGACGATCAATTACTGGGAACGTTGTTTCTTGACAGGGTTAGCCATTACTGGCGTCACAAGTTTATACATATGAACTTTTGAGCAGGTATAGTTGCGATGATAATGAAGAGTACATTTCTTGACATCGCTTTTGTGGAAAAAGGAGCATTTAATGAACATCTATAAGCGTGGAGCATTGTCCGTTCATTATTTACCATTTATACTATTTTTGCTATAGGCGAAATTTCCTTCTCGCTATATTGGTCTTTACGCTGGGAATTTTGAAGAAATGACACTTGGTACCTTTTTGGGTTGGACTGGGACATCCAACGAAAGAAATATGCCATCTCAAGTCAACCACACACCGATAGTAACGGGAAAATCAGCCCCATTGTTATGTAGATGAATGCTGTCATAACAAAGGGAAATGGCAGACGTCACACCATGCACTGTGGCTAGACAGCCCGAGATCTTTACAAACTCCTTCCATGCTGCCTATCCTGCATAAAAAGAAATCACGATGTAATTAAAACTGGAGATTACTATTAAGTCATGAAAAGATTTCATGTGTGAGTTGTACTCTGCCCGAAATATATACAATGAAGATATTAACAGTATCATAACTTCGTCTTCAATTCTGAAAGATTACAAATACTAACCATATTAGGATTGATAATCACTTTATTTCAATGACAAATATTTCTACCTGATTCCTTTTATATGCACATGTGTTCGTCTCCATCCCTGCAACCGTTATATTACATAATCATGTCGACATTCTCATTGAGACTATACGTACACTAGTGTTCTATTGCTAGTCTCATCAAGTGCAACTAAGCACCGGCTTCTTTTACTTTAATTTTAAGATGCAACGTTCGTAATCCGGCCTTGATTTCATCATCACAAGAGAATTCGATGGCGTCGGCGCATTTAGCACGGATGCACATCCAGACATTATAACTCCATAAACACAAATTACCATTTATTATCGATTACGATTATAACAATAACATCTCCATAGACTCCATGATCAAGACGTAGACATTCAATCATTGATGGAAGAAAACTTGACACAACAGTACGACATCGGTGACATACATGATTCAGTGCTATACTACAACACACCGACTACGTCAGTCAGTCGGGAAACAATGGTCCCAGAAACAAACGTCCCGAAACAGCCGTCTAGAAACATGTCGGGAAGTCACGAAATCACTTTCACTTGATGTTCAGTTTCAGTTGATGCTTTATCAAGATGGAAATGGCGAGAATCCCGCTGTTGGTGCTGTGTAAGTATTAGGGACTTACTTAATCCATTTAAGTGTCATTAAAGTAATTAATCAAATAATTCAACACGGTTTGAAAGGATTTATACAAACAGGACAAGCCTATTCTAATGTTAGGATAGGATGGTATGACAGGGTATAATGTGCACACAGACTGCATTATATCTGGACCGTGAGTCGCCATGAAAAACGTCCGAAATATCACGCTTGGGCGAATTAAGGTGATTCTAAAAAGAAAATAATCTTATTTTATGTTACATTTTTTTAAATACGACATTAGAATTTCAACAATACAAAGACTTTACTTTATTTGGTATGGAAATGATGTGCACATCGTTCGCTGAGTAACATTTGTTCCATAATATGTCTGTCGCATAAGTTATATACCTTTATGTAAAATAATAATCTCTAAATTAATCCAGGCATTAAACCAATGTGAACAATACCAGTATATCTGTTTCAGTATTCTTCATGCACCAGTCATCAGCTGACACCCACTGTTTCTTGTCATCAGACGACGGTCGTTGTATTGACTGTCACATGGGCTGGTATGGGGACTACTGCAACTACAAATGTTCCGGCAACTGCGACACCGGCGGCTGTCACAAGGACACCGGGATATGTGTACAGTGTGACGCCGGCTACCACGCCACCAACTGTACAGTAACTTGTCCCCCCAACTGTAGATACAGTCACGGTGACAAGCCATACTGTAGCCGGGAGACAGGGCACTGTCTGGAAAACTGTCTGGAAGGCTGGTGGGGAAAGAAGTGTGAAAACAGATGCAGTGATGGATGTGAAGACAACTCCTGCTACTTCTGGGACGGGTCGTGTGCCAGAGGATGCAGGGATGGTTGGGCCGGTGACAGTTGTGACACCAGGTGTCCAGGGGGGTGTCATGGTAACACATGTGAGAGGTACGGCAGCCATAAGTGCACACAAGGATGTACACCCGGTGTTCACGGACATCACTGTGACAAGCAGTGTAACAGACACTGTAGACATCAGGACTGTTTCTATGACCACGGTATGGAGTCTACAGTCTGCAGACAGGGCTGTATGGATGGCTGGATGTCCCTCGACTGCAAGATGAGGTGTCCCAGTAACTGTGAAGCATGTTCTCAAGAGACTTGGGAATGTTCCAGATGCAAGCAAGGTTACTGGGGATCTGACTGCACTAGACCATGTAGTGACACGTGTTCAAGCAAGACATGTGACAGAGGTGATGGGCGATGCTCCTGTTGTATACCTGGTTACTATGGAAACACCTGTGATACGGGTTGTGGGGCTGACTGTATGAGATGTCTCCAGGTAGACGACGGTTGTGGATGTAGGGAGGAATGCCACGCGATGTGCCTGCAGCACCATCAACAGGGAGGAGCATGTGATGATGTACAACGAGGAGGGAAATGTAAGCAAACAAAATTTAATACTGGAGATACAGACACGTCCTCAGATATGTCCATAGATATGTGTTGTTAAAAAAATGATGCCACAAAGGCATGTGCTACTATAAAATGCAGTTTTGATACATGGCACAAAATGTAAATATGAACATCACGGGGGTTTTTTAGTCGCAATTTGTAAAATATTCAAGCAGGTTTTATGTCAGTATGTGATTAATACAGTGTTTTGTAATCATTCTGTCCACATTACCTTATCCTTTGACGAGATCAGTCTACCTGACATGCGTCATATGACTGTCTGCAAGGGAATACAATTTCAAAGTAGTATATAACTCACTCACGCCTGATTGGCAATTTGTATTAGTACTTCTTGATATTTGATTTCTCTTGCAGACAATACGAACGGATCACAGAGATGTGCAGTTGAAGACATACTGTTTACATTATCTGTAGGTCTGCTGGTTCGACATCGACTTCTTCAAGACTTGATATAACCAACACGTGACATGTTCTGGTGACACCGGACGGTTTGCTGATACTCGTCACCATAGGTCATGGCAGCAATGATCCTTCGGTTGCAAGCTTGTTGTTCTACAACTTCACCTTCACAAGCAGGTTTCATGGCATAATCTGCTTTATCATACTATTAGCTACGGGATAAATCGCTAAGGACAATGATGAGCTAGTCGTGGTTTATTTTACGATAAGGCATTGTCTTATTATGACCTTCTAGAAAAGTAAAGATTCCCTCGCAACTCGATGACGTTGAAAAATCGTGGACGCTATTTTGGAGACGGTAATGAGTGGTTTGGCTTAGATGTAGCCTGGCAAATTGGCTAACACAGATGAATGCATTCAATAATTTTGAATTGTGAGAATATTCAGGAATATCTCAAACTGAACTCACAGTTCATAAAATGGACTTGTCCGACATTGCCAAGATCGGATTATATTCAGGGCGTGATCATTATCTGAATAGACACCTGTCGATCCATGCTTGTCGCATGAGGCGAGTATTGGCATCGGTTGGTCAGGTTGGGTGAACTGGTCTTCTTTTGACATGGTACCCACATTGTGTAGATCGATGCTTATGATATCAATCACTGGATTTTGATCCAGACTATTGTGGTTGTGATTGTGATTTGTACAGCGCGCAACCACAGACAAGCATTATTTGTAAATAATAATTATAATGGTAAATTCTATTAACAATCTGAATGTTGTTGCAAATATTGTTGTCTCATGTAAGAAATAAATAATTCCTTGTGTTATATTTCGGTGCATTTAAACACTACAGTGAGAATTAACTACTCCAGACCGTCGTATATTTTCATAAATAATTAGAACCATTTGTTGACATTTCGTTGATTCTTGCCTTAGTAATATAATGGATCAAGAACCTAATTTTCATAAACAATATACATCAAACACAGCTGTTGTAAACAAAACAAGTTAAGTGTTCAACACAGGGAACGTCAGTTACATTACATGCATTATCAAGTGGCGAGGTAGCACATTGTGATATCGCAATATAATATACAGTAATAAAACTGTTCGTAGTGTTTGCTCATATCAGACAGTTATTGGCGTATTTAAAACTCCTTATGCCATATACTTATGCCGTATATGACTTCTATGTGCAGTCGACGGGCAATGTTTGTTAACCACACACGTTATGTATTCCACAAGATCAGTCAGTGAGCAGAAACACAGGCAAGTGAAACAGAGTTATTTCCCTTGTATTGCAGCTCAGAACTTTAGGTATATGTACCTCGTGTCGGTAACTGACAACACTACATATTAGTCAGTGAGTAGAAATACAGGCAAGTGAAACAGAGTTATTTGCCTTGTATTGCAGCTCAGAACTTTAGGTATATGTACCTCGTGTCGGTAATTGACAACACTACAGATTAGTCAGACGCCTCAGACGTAGCAGATTTAACGAACTGTAAATACAAGACAATATCATGACGTACCCTTGGAAGAAATACTCGTACCCATTATAAACCTAAATGTTGGTGCCAAACTGGTCCATACATTTGTAATGGTGTCAAGTACGAACAGAATCCTTAAACGGTGACAGGTTTTATGGAGGCATGGTTTGTCAGTGACCAGTATAATGAATATATGTAGGTGTGTTTCACGCCGGATAACCTGACTCTAGGTGACCAGTTGTAGTCATTTATGATGCTTCTACAACAAATAATAACAATGAATAAGAATATGGAAATCAAATCAATCCATAAAAGTGCTCATTTGAAACATTTTAAAATTGCGAGGATATATTTTGTGTTGGTTAAAAAGAACACAAAACACAAGGTAACAATGTCATGCAACGTCCCTGCGTGTTTTGCACCTAGTTGTTAATGTTTTTTTTGTAGTTTAACAATATTTTCATCAAAATGTTTTCTACTGTAGCGGAGTCATGAACAACGATAACCCGAACAACTATGTATCAACATCGGAGTGAAATGATAGAAGGGAACCATTTCGTTATATAACAATCATTCATATCATGTCCGTCTGTGAAATACATGTTGTATACAACACACACATGTCACTAAGACGTTGGAGTTGTTTCCCCTTCATTGCACGGAGCTATGACATGACGAGATTGCTCAGCTGATGGTGACACGAAGTAACCATAGTCCAGGAAGTATTGTCCGATTTCACAACAGTTTACTTATTCACAGCCTTGTGTTTAAGTGGTATCGTCAAAACTCATTCTGAAAATATATTTTGTAATTAAATATGGACTGTGCTCACAGTCATTTTAGTATTCATTTATTCATATTCGGGATGAACCCTTCTTGCACATTAATATTAAGATGTTTCAACACCAGTTATATTACAACGTGTTAGTGACAAGGGAGGAGAGGTGAAAGTCTCAACAAGGAACGTATGACCACGTTGACGAAAGCATATGGTGATATCAACCCAAGGTTTATAATACAGACTGGCTACAAGTGACCCGCTTTGACTGGAACAAGCAGATTCTATGTCTTTCTGAAATACGTCGCTATCATTCCACTAGATGCGAAGAAATGACCTGCGAGATGAAGTTATCACGAACGTTAACACGTAGGACATACTGTCCACTTGGGGATTTGAACGCACCATCACAGGTACATGATGCGTATTAGTCAAATACATAACTACATGTATTTGTTACGAGCTTTTTTTGGTATATTTGTGAGATAGGTAAGGTACTCTTGTAACCCTAATACTACACTGGTAACACTTACGACAGCCGTAGAGCTAGAGGTATTTCGACAAGGACACCCAGGACTCTTTCTATGACAGTGTGAAGTCTATAGTCTGCAGACATGGTTGTGTGGATGGACGTCTGTTGACTATAAGCAGATATGCCTGGTAACTGTGTGACAAGTTCAAGATAATAGTCGAATATTTAGAACAACGTCATAATTGTGTACAGTGTTCAACGTCTGTACAGACAGAACATGTCATCAAATGAATGTCATTCAACAGTACTTGTATTTATTTAAATAGGCAAAAGGATATGGACGGAAGCATTAGTCTTAGTGACGCACTATATATACTTATATGTATTACTCTATACTATACTACCCAGCAAAAGTTTAGACTCGCTTAAATCAATCACTATAAGTTATGTATGTACATATGGTTACAACGAAGATGAATTTCTCCACTAACTTGGGGGAAACATCTGCAAACCTTATGCAGATTAATTGCACGAGGATCATGCATCAAATTGCTGAAAAGCATGTGCAAATATCGTTCATGTGAACAGCTGCGTTTTGGTGTAAAGTTTTGATAAAAAATCGCCATTTTTCACCGAGTTTCATCATTTACCGAACAGATGACAATAAACTTTTCAACGTCACGAATTTGTTTTACAATACACCAGCTCATTTATAAACAGTACCTTTAAACTGTATGGATTATTTTACAAAATCTAGTTCAGAACAGTTGACTGAAGTAAGTGGCTACATTTACACTAGTGAGTCTAAACTATTGATGGGGAGTATGTTTGAGACCGCTTCTTAGCGTCCTCGACCTGTGAAGAGTGAGTGAGTTAATATTTAACGTCACATCGGTAATATTTCAGCCATATCGTGACGAGAATATTTGATATTGAAATGAAATATATGTAAATTATAAAAACCTGCCGACGAAGGGCAGTAAAACAACTAGAATATCACAGATATACATGTAAAACTAGTAATAGAGTCTAAAACATTTTAACCATAGGGGACAACACAATATAAAACTAGGCTATAGATCACCAACAACTGAAAGTAGGTCACCATACTAGGGTCCATGGGGACTTACAGTACCTTTGCTACCTGCATGGACCCTAGTTGGATTTCGACCCGTGAAGATCCGGGTTAGAATTGATCTTCAGCAACCCATGTTAGTCGTAAGAGGCGACTAATGGGATCGGGTGGTCAGGCTCGCTGACTTGGTTGACACATGTCGTCGTATCCTAATTGTATAGATCGATGCTCATGCTGTTAATCACAGGCTTGTCCGAGCCAGACTCGATTATTTACAGACAACTTCCATATAGCTGGAATATTGTTGAGTGTGGCTTTAAACAATAAGCGAAACAAATCGTTGCGTCCCCTCTGATATGACTTGAACCTCGTTTAAACACACGCACATATTTGTACAACATATTGGAAACGTAACATACGTGTACTGTATTTCCTAACATATCTGCAATGAATACCTACTTCCTGATTCATATTGCATTTCGTTGGAAACCAAATATATTACGTTTGCACATCTACCTCATACACTGTGAATATCCTGGGTGAATAATCCCAGATATTGATTGCTACACGAACAAATTAAACTTACAAAGATTCATGTCACTGACGAAGCTACGATTACTTATATGCATGCATGCCCCCTATGTTGTCGTTTCTTTGTGTAACATGCACGATACAAGCCCTAAGTAAATAGTGTTATCAAGCTCTATCCACTTATCGATCTTTGTGAGGACATACCTGGGGCCACTTGCACAAAGTTAGCGCTATGACCATCTTAGATCTATTTTACAGTATGTGAGTTTCGAGCGTTGTAGCACTAAGATCGCTTTGTGCAAGTTGGTCCTGGTCTGTTTTGTAGATACAGGTGAGATAACAGTGTAACATATATAGACACCAAGCACATGTCTGCTCTGACAAGCTTGAGGTCAGAAGGGCTAAAGTCCCTGTTGCATACCTTGATTGCATTAATCTACACCATCAACAAAACGTGACATAATCTTTTAGAAACTTTTGTTTCATAAATGAGGGCAAATATACTTGGGCGTTCTGACGGAATACTTTCTATATCATGAACGAAAATATATCTCAGTAGAGAGGATCGTGTAGAAATATAATTGTTTTCGTGAAAAGTATTGATACATGGACAACACAACATTAATTCGATCGTTAACTGACCCCATACTAAGCTTAATTACCTTGTAATGACTAAGCTTATAATTCCTGCTGACACTTGCAGTCAGCAGCACTGTTATTTGTTTAGTCAGTGCTACGTCAACTTCCAAACACCCTTCGTTGTATCTCCGGGGCACTTGGCTTGACATGCGTCTCAGGGGATTACCCTTCTCCTCGGAAAACAACACGGATGCTTTGAGTTGATTACAGCTGATAAGTTATAAGGACACTATCATTGACATAGTAACTATATAGAAGAGATCTCCCATGCAAAGTTGACGCTTCCAGGGAATACGAATCACAACAGATAATTTAGCATTGTGGGTACTTGGGACGAAGTGGTGAGTTCCCTTGATCTTTGTCTCACTGCCTATATATTGGACGGACCAATTCTAATCAACGAAAAAGGAAGGCAAGGTAATTGCAGAAATGTGTTCTTAAAATTCAAGTAATATAGGAGATGATGATGATGATGATGATGATGATGATGATGATGATGATTTTTTCATTTCTAGGACGAAATGACATTGATCATATCAACAGTAACTCTTCTACTACAGCTGCTATGTTCAGGTAAGAACTTTTATACTTTTAAGGATATATCTAGTATATATCTACATATCTATTTCTGTTTGTATCTATATATCTATATCTATTGAACACTTTACAGTTTCAGGTATACGTGGAGCGTCCCATTGCCTCTGGCCGTCTGTGTCAAACCCCTGCCCTGCCTGCGAGATAGGATGGTATGGTGATGTCTGTAACTTCAACTGTTCCTTCTGCGACAGCGGCGGCTGTCACAGGGACACCGGGATATGTAAACAGTGCCGAGCCGGCTACTTCTCTCACACCTGTAACGTGACATGCCCCCCCAACTGTAGATACAGTCACGGTGACAAGCCCCACTGTAGTCGGGAGGCAGGGCACTGTCTGGAAAACTGTCAAGACGGCTGGTGGGGAGACTGGTGTGAGAGGAAGTGCAGTGGTGGATGTGAAGACAACTCCTGCTACTTCTGGGACGGGTCGTGTGCTAGAGGATGCAGGGATGGTTGGGCCGGTGACAGTTGTGACACCAGGTGTCCAGGGGGGTGTCATGGTGACACATGTGAGAGGTACGGTAGCCATAAGTGCACACAAGGATGTACACCCGGTGTCCACGGACATCACTGTGACAAGCAGTGTAACAGACACTGTAGACATCAGGACTGTTTCTATGACCACGGTATGAAGTCTACAGTCTGCAGACAGGGCTGTGTGGATGGCTGGATGTCCCTCGACTGCAAGATGAAGTGTCCTGGTAACTGTGAAGCATGTTCTCAAGAGACTGGGGAATGTACCAGATGCAAGCCAGGCTACTGGGGATCTGACTGCACTAGACCATGTAGTCACAAGTGTTTAAATAGGACATGCAGACCAGATGGTCGCTGCAATAGATGTCAGCTCGGTTACTATGGGGACAGGTGTGGAACATATTGTGATGCTGACTGTATCGGGTGCCTGGAGGCCAAGGGAGGATGTAGATGTAGGAGGGTGTGCACTCAATCCTGTCTGCATCACAAGCTACCCGACACGACATGTCTCCATGTAACGCAGAAGGAAAGGCACACAGGTAAGAAGGAGTCCTTGTGTAACGGTGCCCATTCAGATCAGGTGACGACTGTTGTTGAATAGGACTCTAAGTCCAGAAGTCTTGACATTTGACTTGATATGTACTTAAAGATGAGCCTCTCATCATGGCTACATGACAATGTATTTTTATATTTTATACCTTGGACAGTACAGCATGTAAGGTCTCCACATTCTTTTTCTCTGGTAGTTCAGTTGTTGATATTATTGCTGCCTTTGCCGAATGTTGAATATGTTTCATATCTGTTTTCAAACGTACAAAGAGAATGCAGTGGAAAATGTATGTGTGTTGTATCTGTACTGATGGAGAACAAATTATGCTTTCAGATGCCAACATCCACGAAATGACATCGAGGAATGGATCCAGCTTGTGTAGATTTACCTTATCACCCTTCATATATCTAGCCATCGTGTTGACGTTGTCACCCACCGCTGGTGTCATCTGTTCTTTCATTGCACTGTAAATATTCATATGTCATTTGTGCTGTTGTGTATGGAAGGACTACTGTTATATGACGTGTGTTTCCTAATCTGTAGCTCATCAAACAATTTGAACCTATTACACTCTTAGCATAAGTAAAAAATACAACCATATAAATGTGACAAAGATATGAACATGGAGAAATTATATCCAGATAAATTAAATTTTCATGTACAAGTATTATTGATAATCACTGCCATTATTACTTTCCCTCACACTATTTTATTGTTTTGTACTAAACGTTTTAATTGTTTTGTTGTACTGTGTTTGTACTAAGGACAAGTAACAAGGGAGTGAGTCAGTTCGGCTTGCGGTCACATCTGCAGCTGTATAGCGAGGAACAAACAACGTAATAGATAATGTTTTCAGGACTCCTTCCGCGTTGTAGTGTCGCTCAGTGTATGTGTGTGTTTGTGTTTGTGTGTATCTTGTATTGAATGTACACCGATATATATAAATATATTTGACAAGAATATAAAATAATAATCACATAAAGTTCACAGGAATTGTCAACTACAACAAAGGGAAAAAAGTCCCGTTACATTAAAGACGTTCTGAGCATTATAAGAAGTAGCATAAAAAGCCTCCCTTGGACCTGGTAAGTCTGTGAAGGTATCCTCGCTTGTCAGTCAAGGCAACGTGTGTGTTGAATCTGGGATGATCTTATATTTGTGTTGCTGAGCGGTGACTGCAGTCGGAAGCCATAAGTAATGAGATTTCACATAATGTGAACTAAATGTACAGGTTACACTCGAGGTAACGTCCTCTGAAAGTACATGTGTTGTCAGTTAACAAGTGTTTGAGAGAGGGCTAGGACATGAACATGTATGTTTCAGTTTGAATACTGTTGTGGATACTGTGGAATATACTGCTCACAAAAAGTAGGGGATATTGAAAAGTTGAGACAAATAAAAGCAAACGTATGTTTAATTGTCATTTGAAAACAATGTTCATGTGGAAATAGGGATGTTTAGCACCAGTTGTCAACAAATTAACTTTGATAACAATGCCGATGTTCTTTGTGGATATTGCGAAGTTCATCAGGGGTGATAACCCAAATGTCACAAACCGGTTAATAACGGGCGGGCCCACCATTAGTTGCCAAACAAGCCAAACTCCTAATGAGGTTACCAATGTCAACTTGAGGAATCCTCTGCCATTCCTCTTGAAGTGCCACGCCCAGTTCTGCCAAATCTCGACATGAGGGTGCCGCCCCTCCACTCGTCGTACAAGCATATCCCACAGATGTTCAATGGGTGAGAGATCGGGGGACATCGCTTGCCATGGAAGAGTTTGGATTTGGTTCTGCCAGAGATGATCAATGACAACGCGAGCACGGTGAACCCTGGCGTTATCATCCTGGAAAATACAACCTTGCCCGTGGCGGGGTGCACACGGCAGGACGTGTGGCGTGATGATGTGGTCACGGTAGTAGACAGCGGTGACTCTCCCTTGGCAGATGTGGAGGTCAGTCCTGCCCGTCATCATAATTCCACCCCACACCATAACAGACCCCCTTCCATATCGATCAAGAGGAATCATGGCGACTGCCTGGTGGCGTTCACCAGGGTGTCTGCCAGACACGATGACGGCCGTCACTGAAGTCCAAGGTGAACATTGACTCATCGACGAACATCACATGGGACCACCGGGCATTGTTCCACCGCTGGCGACGGGATGAAACGTCGCCTTCCTCGAAGGTGTGCAGCATGGAGACGGTTCCGTATAGAGATGCGGCTCCCAGTGGCCTGTCTGTGTACTTGCTGCAGCTGTGTCGCATTTTTCGTCGATCACGGAGGGCTCGAGTGATGATCCGCCGGTCATCGCGCCTTGTGGTACATCCTTGGCGACCACTTCGAGGCCTATCCTGGACTCTTCCAGTGGCTGTGTAACGTGCCCACGACCTGCTGACTACAGACTGCGAGACACCCAGTTGTGCTGCTGTGTGGGCTTGTGTTCTTCCGGCCTGGAGCATCCCTATGGCTCTCAATCTTTCGTCTTCTCGTAATCTTCGCATGGTGGAAAGTGGTGAAATGGTGGATGGCCATGGTCTTAACCCCACATGTATAGCAAACCTTGCATTTGCCACTTGCACGTGTGAAACATGGTGTGATGTTTCATACCCACCCCTGGTGCGTTTGAGTTCAATGTTTTCGGATCTATGGACACCTGGTGGTCACCGTGCAATATGCTAAGGTGGACCAATGGTTGTACTCAAACATACTTAAAGTACTCGGAGGAATCTTTATTCCTGTGTCTTTGCCCCTTTGTTTAACTTCAGTACCCGCTACTTTTTGTGAGCAGTATATGAATGCTGAAAAGACCGGAATATGATGTGATGTGATGTGATGTGATATCATATCATATCAATATCACGATGGGAGAGACCAGAAATAGATTTTATACATTGTACTCATGTGGAAAATCGAACCTGGGTCTTCTTCGTGACGAGCGAACGTTTCAGCCATCAGGCTAACCAACCGCCCAGTAGAATATAAAAAAGAGCTGAATGAACTATATGTGGATGTATTTAATCTAACTACAGCTGTAGAGCTGTGTCTTATTGATTATTCAGAAACATCTCAGTACTCAAAGCAAATACTGTTTACGGACTTACGAAAATGAAAGATCAAACTGAAAATGATCTCGATACTTAAATTTGTTTCCGCCTAGATTACTCATGTGACTCCCCATATTTGTCAGTTAGAGGTCCCAGTGTTAATGTCACTATCTAACCCAGGTGGCGTTACACGCACGTTGATGTTGTGGCGCGTGCAACTGAACCTACATCTATCCAGACACAGTAGAGGCCAGTGGAGGACCAGTCGCAGTTCGAGTTACGTCCCTTTATCACAGAATCACATATTTAAGCATCCTTGGTTTACAAATACGGTAACTGTGGTGGATATCTTAGACATGCATAATCTAGGAATTTCCTCAAACATTACACATTGGACACTCATACATTATGCAGTTCAGTGGAGACTAACATCAGTAATTTGACGATCCATTACAGTTCAGAATGAGCACCTGTTAAATGTTGCTGATGCCCTGATGCCCTGATGCCCTGATGCCAGACAGGACGCCAAGTAGCACATCATCCTGCATGATCTGAGCTTTAGGTTGGTTTGAAACATAAGTTTTGGTGGCGTGTAACAATACAAGTATGTGTTTCAACCGGCACCAATTTACTCAACTGAATGAATATACATTTTACATCAGTTCATAAACACCAATTGTTAATATCATAATATTTTAGATGAATACGTTGCTCAAGTCCCAAGTCTGAAATTGATACATTTCATTTTCTGATCACAAGAGACCATTATTTATTTACCACCTCCATCACATCATCAATATTACTACTGCTATCAGACATTATACAAGTGCAAATGTGTTCAAATTATTGAGAAATGTTTACTTATTGCATTAGAAAATATCACCCAAATTACTTCCTTTTGACGATCATATTGTGTACTCCTTGCCACCCGGTAACATTTCTATAACTGTCACGTAGTATGTTATAGCATATATAGTGCTCAATGTGTGCATTAGCGACAAGAACTGTAGAGGTGTCTCTGGTAAGTACGGCAATCCGCCTGTTTCTACATCATACACTTGGAGGTAATAACGATACCTATGTACAACTGAGCTATCGTCCGCATAGTGTTAGGATAAGTTTGTATATTCGTAGTTTTTGTTTGAGGCACGAGTCGTCCAATCGTTTAGTACACCGCTGTCGGTTTTGCTGGCTCCCATATTTCTGCTTGGTAAAACAATTCCTAGATTCACAACTACCGATTTTGCTTCACAGTCATCGGTACCATGTTATTGAGCTTTATCAAATGGGAAAACTTCCAAGACTTGTATCACTTTGGGGTTTCGGAACACATTGTGCCAACACACCTCCAAATAACTGAAATAATGGTCAACGTTAAACTCAACTCACTCACAGACACTACGTTGTTTCAGTTGTGACATCGACGATCTAGGAATGGACATGACGTACATGTTGGTGGCGTTCTTCTGTGTGTCAGGCCTACGAGGAGGTGCGTCCATTTTGATTTAAAATGGGTTATCACGATAAAAACAGAACACAAAAATAGAAAATTAATAGAAATGTTGTACAACTGGAGCATTATGAAAACGTACTTTTTTGTATGTCCAAAAGGAGTTATTTGTTACATAAACAGTAAAGCTCTTTTTAGAAAAATAATCAATAAAACAAAATACTAGTCAACATGTTTCACTTATTACATATTCATAAGGAAATATAATAATACTAGCTGCACAGTATTATCCAGACAACACTCTGTGGTATAATGTCACTACTTCCAGTGCTCCTGGTGCCATGCTGTGACCACTGTGAGGGCCAACCTACAGACGCTGACTGTCAAATATGCAGGAATAGAACCAGGACCTGTACTGAGCCTTTACAGGTTGGTACAGTTTAACGTTCGATTTCTGTTTCCTTACGATAGAGATGACTGCTAAACATCATTGTAGCAAAACAGGACATGTGTGTTGCAGTACAAGGCTTATTGGAGAACATGTATTTCTTACATGTAAAATAATTTTGCTTACTGCATTCGACTAATTTGTAAAAAGTTCTTTCTATTCTTTACGAGATATTTAGTGTTTGACAAATTAGGAAACAAAATCGGGAAATCAATTTTCAGTTAACCATTACCATAGTCAAGAGTGACTAATGACATAGCTGCATAAATCATTCACTCACAGGCCTACAGATCTCTGCTGCATCAATCATTCACTCACAGGCCTACAGATCTCTGCTGCATCAATCATTCACTCACAGGCCTACAGATCTCTGCTGCATCAATCATTCACTCACAGGCCTACAGATCTCTGAGTGAGTGACTAATGACATAGCTGCATCAATCATTCACTCACAGGCCTACAGATCTCTGAGTGAGTGACTAATGACATAGCTGCATCAATCATTCACTCACAGGCCTACAGATCTCTGAGTGAGTGACTAATGCCATAGCTGCATCAATCATTCACTCACAGGCCTACATATCTCTGAGTGAGTGACTAATGCCATAGCTGCATCAATCATTCACTCATAGAGGTCTACAGATTCTGTGTGTGAGTGACTAATGACATAGCTGTATCAATCTTCACTCACCATTCTGAGCTGTATCAATCACTCCACTGATCTCTGAGTGAGTGACTAATGCCATAGCTGCATCAATCATTCACTCATAGGCCTACAGATCTCTGAGTGAGTGACTAATGCCATAGCTGCATAAATCATTCACTCACAGGCCTACAGATCTCTGAGTGAGTGACTAATGCCATAGCTGCATCAATCATTCACTTAAAGGCCTACAGCTCTGAGTGAGTGACTAATGCCATAGCTGCATCAATCATTCACTCACAGGCCTCACAGATCTCTGAGTGAGTGACTAATGACATAGCTGCATCAATCATTCACTCACAGGCCTACAGATCTCTGAGTGAGTGACTAATGACATAGCTGCATCAATCATTCACTCACAGGCGGACAGATCTCTGAAATATATTCGGGTTGATGTAAACATAGCAAAAGCTCTTCAGTGAAACTACATTTTCGTATGGATGTTCTTGTAAAACGAGTGTAAACAAGTTCATACCAAAATGTACACACTGAGTAAGGAGCACAACAATGTCTTGTCACCGAACCAAAATCCTTATTCATATAGAGACTGTTGCCTCGATTTTTATATTTTACGTATTTTCATCCTCAAGTTTTGAAAAATGTATTTCTCTTCCTCTTACAACAGACAACCCCGGGTGAAATGGTACAGCCTTACTTGTGTCCAGATCCGCGTTTCTTTGGCACAGATTGTGACAAGAACTGTTCAGATGCATGCGTGAACTCCCGCTGTGAACTACAGGAAACAACCCTGGTCTGTACAGACGGATGTATTGACGGTAAGAAGGGAATATACTGTCAGGAAGATTGTCTGTCGACATGCTCCAAGTGCGAACGCTACGGAATTGTTTGTCTACAGTGTCGGGAGGCACTTAGCTATGGAAAGAAGTGTGACAAACGTTGTCCTCCAAACTGCAAAGGTGGATGCGCCAAAGAGACTGGTATTTGCACAACGTGTGCATCGGGGTTTAAAGGAGCCAAATGTGAAACACCTTGCAGGCCAGGTTGTGAGGTATGTCCTCGTTACACGGACGGATGTTTCACGTGTTTGTCTGATCGCTATTACGGCAAGGACTGCAGGTTTCCTTGTCCACAGAACTGTCTTCAATGCAAGAAAGACACGGGAGACTGTAGTGAGTGTGTGCATGGATACAGCGGGAAACAGTGTAAGTGTTACTTTATACATCCCTATTTACTGCATGTACTCAGCTGCATGTGATTCCAGCCCATACGTTCTGAGATAGATACATGGTATCCATAAATAGTTATGTCTTTTACGTAGTTCACGTATTTTCATCCAGTATTGGCTTGGGTGAAAATGGGACACGTCCCTGTATTAATCTATTGAGGTTCATTAATAACGTCGTCATGTGAGAGAATTATTCTCAAGCACGATTATAAACCCAATTTCACCTCACCTTCAACATTAATGTAGACACTGTGATTAAGAACAGTTTCCTGGTTTGTTGAATTTATGATACCGATGGACTTGTACATTGTGGGTATTTTATATTCAAGTTCATATATTGAATGAGTATTATTATATTTGATTTTTATCTATTTTCCGAAACGATGCATACATAGTTTAAGTTATACAATGAACTGACAAGGAAATATTTAAAAAATTATAATAATTGTGAATAATCCTGCTAATGAGAGACTAAGGAATAGAATGAATGCACCAGGCAATAAATAAATACACACGTGAGCAAATACGAACTCATAATGATAAAAAGAAACTAACACACAGTAGGTTGATATTCAAATGTGCAGAAAATAGTAATTGAAATGTACTGGCAGTCATTGTTATCCTCGTGTCGTTTGTCACTTCACGTACGTGAACAACTATTTACATGTGAATATTTCATTTGTATTTAGGCACCGAACATGTACAGAAACTGGACCCTAATACCATCCTCATCACGTGTTCGGTCCTGGGAGTTGTCTTGTTTGGAGGAGTCTTGTTGTTCCTCCACAGACTTTGCACTAACAGACACCAGAGGAGGTAAGTTATCGTTACTGAACATCTGTGTACTGAAATAAACGGTAGAAACTTTTGACTCAAACAAATGTAAGCGGTTAAATCAATGACATACGGATATGTATGCAATAATCTTAACCTTATATTTCAGACCGGAGACAAATCCACCAACTGGCAGTCAGAACACGTCAACCATGGACGTGAGGGCGAGACATGGAACGCTGAATCATGAATCCAGGGATTATGATGTCCCTCATAAATACTGGGAGATCCATGATACTGACCTAGACACAGTTACACAGTCAACTGCATCTGTACAAACTGGAGACATGGATGGAGCATCTAATACAATGAGGTATCACCCCAAACCAGATATCCCAAAGGAAACGATGTGAAGATGGTTGGTTTCATCCATTAAAGAGTCCAACAGAACGAGCTGCTTCAGGAGATGCAGATAATCATCCTATGGCTGCCCATTTTGGCAACAGCAAGATGGATGGAGATGCATGGCCTGCTGATTTGAACAGTTTGTCTGTGATCAAACAATCACATCATCTGAACAGTTCATGATTCCAGCTAATGTTGTTAAACTACAACTAATCCTCGCACACGATGTAGAGACAAACCCAGGTCCACAATTGACAATGAAAGACCTTGATGCTGTTAAAGCCGAGATTAAAACCGATATACTGAATGAAATCCGCGAATTTCGACAATCGATGTGTACGGAAATGAATGCCATAAAATCTCAAATAAGCGAAGTAGCAGAAAAATGTTCTTCATTGGATAATTCACTGTCGGAATTACGGGCAGACGTAGATAGAGTGGCAAATGAACAAGTGTCAATCTACACTGACATAGACGCCATGAATCAAAAGTTTGAAAATCTTGAATCTGTAGTCTTAAGACACGAATCCGAACTTGATAAACTGGAGTCTTATAGCCGAAGAGATAACATTATTTTGTATGGAATAGATGAACAGCGGATGAAAACTACGATGCTTGTAAAACAAAGTGATTTCTGTTCTCAATAGCAATGTGGCAGTTAAGGTTTGGCAGGGGTCAGACATTATACGAGCGCATCGTGTAGGTCGTAGACAAGAAGGCCATGATAAACCCCGTCCGATGATTGCCAAATTCTCGACGACAGAGGATAAAATAGCTGTACTGAAGCATCGTGATGATCTGAGAAAGGTAAATATAGGTGTAGCTAATGATCTTACCAAGAGACAAAGAGAGACTATAGCGGACCGTAAGAGCAGAGGGCTTACAGCATATATTATAAAATGGTAAGCTTGTGACCGCACCAACTAATCCGCAGCTAGCCCACAGAGCTGATATCCCACGCAGATTAACCCCGTGCTAGGACTGCCGCATCCATACCAGTGACGAGCAGGGGTTCCGGACAGCCCGATTATAGGACAAGCATGCACCACAGCTCTCAAGCTTCTACTCCCGTACCAGCCCCAGCCTCAGCCGCAGCCACAGTCAACAGCTTGACATCTCCCCGGTCAGCTGACCTCGGCTCCTCTATGGACGACAGCTAGGGACTCGGCCAGGCCCACAACTCTACACGACCGCAATATCAGGTGCAGAATATTCCAGTTCTTTTTGTGATCTAAATATTTTAACTTGGAATATTGATGGTTTCCTCACAAAACTTAACGACAGGGATTTCGTTGAGTATATACAAAGCTATGACATCGTTTGTCTAGTCGAAACGTTTCTAGACAGTGTCATATCCATACCTGAGCTCTCATCCTATGTTATGTATATCTGTAAAGCACATAGGCTAGCTTGGCATGGTAGATTATCAGGTGGGTTGTAATGTTGGTTAAACGCACCATGGCGTCTCACTGCCAACAAGTCTTCACTGACATAAGCAATGTTGTATGTCTCAAGATAGAGAAAACATTGTCTTTAAACATAAAGAAATCATCATACTAGGAATGTATGCCCTCCCGCCAGCTCGACATTTTATGTTACAGTCGATAAATCCAACCCCATCGACGAGCTTGATGAATGGCTCACTCAACACCGTCACTCGAACGCAGAAGTTATTATCTGTGGGGACTTGAACGCCAGAGTTGGTAGTGGTAACAACCCACCTGAGACATTTGACACTGAACGACTTGACAGAAGTGCCTTCCCAGATGAAGATCCTGTGCTACTAGGCCAGAGACACTCATGCGACAATGTTATAAACTCGTTTGGTCGTAAGCTTTTAGACCTATGTTTTGCACACACAATCTGTACTTGTTTAATGGACGAACAAATGGAGATTGGGATGGCAGTTTCACTTATATTTCAAACCAAGGATGTAGTGTAATTGATTTTTTCATTAGTTCTGTTGATGTACATCAAATCTGTAAATACATACACATTGATACTCGTGTTGAGTCGAAACATATGCCAGTGAGTTTACATTTAAAGTGTATTACTGAAGTGACAGACAATAATGCTAACTGTAAACATGAACAATCACAAGATGAGTTTAGATATAGGTGGGACGATAACAAGGCTGATGCATATTTACAAGCTCTAAGTTGTCTGTGGAGGAATGAAGAACTCAAAGATCATATAGAGAACGATGTTAATTATGCAGTCGATGAATTTGTATCTGTCATTCTTGGAGCTGCTGATTGTATGAAAAAGCCTCTTGGAAACAAAAATATCGTCAATAATTCATTCTATAATCATCATTGTAAATCTGCTAAAAGAGAAGCAAGACGTGCTTTGAGAAGACTCCAGAACACATAAATCAAACGAAACAAGAAGCAAGTATTGCAAACTAAGGAATGACTATAAGAATATATGTAGAAAGTCCAAGGCCATGTTTAAGCTTAAAAGGAGAAACAGATTAAATACAACATTATCGGACCCAAAATCATTTTGGGAAAGAGCTCCGATCCATCTCTGAGGAAATAAGTTATCACCTCAGATCAATAAAGATGTGTGGCTTAATCATTTTAACACAGTTTTTAATAGACCTGTGCCCAGTGATACAGAAACCTGGGAATGTCAAGATGATAAGGATTGCGTTGATGATATTGATGCAACTATTCTTGAATGTGAGTTCTTCACTGATTCTGAAATTATATCAGCCTTAGATCATCTAAAAAGAGGTAAATCTCCAGGTAATGACTGTATAATTGTAGAAATGCTTACATGTTCTACAATATTATCATTTTACCATTTCTTAGAAAACTCTTTAATACATTGTTTCAAAAAGGTGTTTTCCCTGAAAACTGGACTAAAGCAATTATAATTCCTATACATAAAAAGGGTGACCGAAGTAATCCCGATAATTACAGAGGGATTTCCCTTTTAAGTGCACTCAGCAAAATATATACACGGATTCTTCATAGCAGACTTACAACCTGGGCTACGATAAGAGATAAAATACCTGAATTTCAAGCCGGTTTTAGAAAAGAGTATTCTACAACTGATCATGTTTTCACCTTAAATGCAATAATTCAGAAATGCTTATCAAGAAAAAAGAAGAAACTGTATGTTGCCTTCGTAGATTTTAAGAAAGCTTTTGATTCCGTCTCACGATATAAATTTTGGTACTGTCTTCAAAACTCTGGATTAAATGGCAAAATGTTGGCTGCAATAAAAAGTATATATGTATCTGTTACAGCATGTGTAAGATGCAATGATAATGTTTATACAGATTATTTTGATTGCCCAGTCGGTCTAAGGCAAGGGTGTATTTTAAGTCCACTTTTTTCATTTTTTATTGGTGAACTGTGTACTGATATTGTAGAAAGTGGTAAATTTGGTGTACAGCTGTTCCCTGATTTTTAGAGATATTGCTATTACTTTTGCAGACGATGTCATTCTCATATCTGACGTTGCTTCGGGACTACAAAACAATTGAACATCTTAGAATCATATTCTGATAAATGGGGACTTGACGTCAACCTCGATAAAACCAATATTGTTGTTTTAGAAGGGGTGGGCGATTATCAGCTAAAAGAAAATGGTATTATAAAGACTCTGTTATTGACGTTGTGAATTCATATAGATATCTTGGTATTATATTTTCATCCACGTTTAAAATGAATAAATGTACAGACGATCTAGCACTGAGAGGAAAAAGAGCATTGTTACAAATACTATATAACTTACGAAAGATTGATGTGGTTGATCCTAGGGTATTCTTTTTAAAATATTTGATTCACAAATTCAACCAATTTTACTTTATGGTGCGGAAGTATGTGGGATTAGCCGCTATGATAATATTGAAAAAGTTCATTTGCTTGCATGTAAGAGATTTCTAAATGTAGGATTACAAACGCCTAATGTTATAATATATGGTGAATGTGGACGATATCCTTTGTATATAAATGCCTTATGTCGAGTTATTAAATATTGGCTAAAGCTTACAGAAATGCACTCTGGTACAATACCAAAAAAATCATATGACATGTCAGTATATTTAGATAACATTGGGCAAAATAATTATGCTTCTCATATTCGTAACATACTTTTTTCACATGGATTTGGCTTTGTATGGTTAGCACAAAGTGTAGGCAATAAGGTCGATTTTCTTAGATGTTTTAAAGATGTATGTGTAAATATGTTCTACCAATCTTGGCATTGTACTACTCTCGACAACAGTTCACGCACAATCTGTATAGAGAATGTAAGTGTTTACTAGAACCGGAAAAATATTTAAGTGTTATACATGAAAACAAATATCGTAATATTCTTATAAAATTCCGGAGCAGGCCTATTACGATTAAAAATAAATGAAGGAAGATGGTTAAATATTGATGTATCTCTACGCACATGTCCTGTCTGTAAACTCGGTATAGAGGATGAATTCCATTTTCTTTTAGTATGCAAATATTATTCTGAAGAAAGATTCTATTATTTTCCACATATTTACAACCGCATTCCAAATATATTTATTTTCAAAAACCTGCTAACTTCTACTTCAAATGAAGCATTATTAAATCTATGCAAATTCATATATACTGCTTATATAAAGAGACAGACTTTGTTAAACTCTTAATTGTTTTACATCATGTTGCCAATATATTTTGATTGTACATATGTTATATGTATATGGGCCGGTGGCCTTCATGCATAATAAAGATCTTTGACCTTTGACTAACAGTTTGTCTGACGATCGTGCGATTTCCAATTCCAATGGTGGTTTTCAACTGTCAAGGTGGATTCAAACAATACATGTGGACATGGACAGCTGTGAAAATTCTAGAAGTGTGCCAATACCTGTAGATAAATACTTAACAGCAATAGGTTCAGACATCTCCCATGTTGAGAAAAGCGTTGATGTGGAACATGTGTATGAACTGTGATTGCCCTGTGTGAACACTGAACACTTGTTTTATTTTGATGATTTTGTGTTGTGAACTGCGTGCTT